GAGGAGGCTTAGTCCACTGCCCCACAGAGAATTTTTTAAAAAGTGTGAAACCCAGCACTCCTTGTTTCTGCTGTATGATTTGCTCTCTGTCCTAAGCTCTGACATTTCTCTGCCCTACAACGATTATGGGAAAACTAGGAAATGGGAATTTGCATTTTCCGACACTTTTTATTTTGAAAAAATTCGATTCTGCAGAAAAGTCATAAGGATTGAACAGCAAATAGCTACGTGCTGGCCACTCCCTCTTCTTCCCTAGCCACCCCCCTGGTCTGTCGCTGTCCATCCCCCCATCGCACGTCTGTCTGTAGTCTATCTATCACGTCTGCCCGCCTGTGTCCCTATCGTCTCTCTACCTACACACCTGTCAGGCAGGTCCGCCATGTGTCTGTCTGTAGCCATCATCTGGACCGGCCCGTTCAGCACCCATGCCTCCTGTTGGGATGGAAGCTGCAGCCACAGTGACCCCTGCCCCCAGCCCACCACGGGCTCCACCTCGCGCTCTCACGGCTGCAAGGCCAGAGCTGCTCTGGGCGGGCGCTTCCCCCTCAGCCCCTCTCTGGAGCTCCTGTCACAGCCAGGTGACATAGCTGAAGGGGCAGGCCCAGGGTTCCCTGGACGCCTCCATCTGGGCTTTTCTTGTGTCCTTGAGACCACATGGACACGTCTGGCAGACCACAGCAGGTGAATGCGTGGCTGGCTGTCCCCTGGGGCCCGAGCTCGCCTGTCCCCTGCCCAGCTCAGTTTCCAGGCCCGCCCAGGTGTATACGGCGTCCTTCCGTCCCACGTCCATACTGGCCACTGTGCCGGGTGCCCTCCTCTCCATCTGGCTCTGTGACTTCCTGTTCTCCTGGAGAAGTTTCTGTCCCTTCCACACCTGCACCTGTGTGGCTCCTGGAGCCCCTGCCCTGGGCGGGCGAGGGTGGGCCTGTACCCTTCCCACAGCCCAGCTCTGCTCCAGGAGCTCCTTTCTGGAAAGCTCAACTGGGGAACCCAGGAGCTGCCGGGGTGCAGGTCTCCCTAGCCATGAAGACCCTCCCCTGCACAGCCCGCGCCAGGCCCTGCTGCCTCCTCCACCTGCCTCCCAGGGCCAGAGCTCGGCTTCGGTGCTGCCCCAGGCTGGACATTCAGCCCTGCCGCACCAGTTGACCTTGACCTGCTCATTGGGTGAGGTGACCTTTGCCCTCGCCCACCTGTGGGACATGAGACCCAGCCCCAGGAAGCCCCCTGAGGGCTCTGAGTGGCTTTCTCGCTGCTGGACAGCCCGGCCCGGGGGTGGGGTGGCCAGCGCCGCTGCTCGGGGACCTGTCTTGGTGGCGGCCTTGCAGAACGGGGTCATGAGCTGGGCCGCAGGGGCCAGGGCTCGGTCCAGCACTGACTCAGTCTCCTGTGTGGCCAACTGTCGTCCAGGGTGCGGGTTCCGACAGGTGTCCCTGCGGCCACTCCGGTCCTCCTCCAGCCACTCTCCGGCCTTGGGGGGGGGCAGTTTTGAGTCTGTCTGCTTGATCCTTGCCGCTGGCCTCTCTGCTCTCCTCCGGAGTGCATGGCTTGGGACAGCCGAGAACCATGGCATGGAGGCTGGGCCATGCTGGGAGGCTGGGACATGCTGTGACCGGTGGCTGCCGAAGCAGAGGCGGAGCCCTCCCCAGCTGTGCTGGGAGGGGCCCCAGCTGGCTTCCAGAGACTTGCGCCAGAGCCAGGAGCCCCCCAGCCAGCCCCAGTGCCCGTGGGGAGAGCCCGCCTCCCGAGAGAGCGGGCATCCAGGTTCTGTCTTGCCACACTCTGCTGTGTCCAGGGTCCCGCGGCCCCAGAATAAAACCCGAACCCCTCTCCTGGGTCTCAGGGCCTCTGCTCACCCCTCCCCCGCCCCAGCTGCTCCTGCCTGCTGCCCACACACCCTGACATTCATGCCTGGTCGCTGGTTTATCCTTTCTCTGGGACGTGGTGGGTCCGTGGTGGGTCCCTGGGGGCCTTGGGTGGGCACACACGCGTCTGCCGAGTGCCGCGTGCTCATTTTCCAAAGCGACCCCTGAGTCGGCTCTCACCTTTCATCCCGGGGATGAGGAGGAGGCCGCCCGCCGTGTGCTGTGAGTTCTGGACCCCCGAGAGCCACCGTGAACAGGCACAGGCGGACAGGTGAGGACAGCTTCGCACGGACACCACTGGGACGTCCGCTCCCTGCCCTGCGGCGGGCCCAGGCTCACTCCCCACGGCCGCCCTGTCCCGTGCTGGACAGGAGCTGGCCTCTTCGGCCTCGCTGGAGGCCTCCATTCACAAAATGCAGGACTGCGGGACTCCCTGTGTGTGCACCTCCAGGGCAGGCACCGCCCTCGGGACTGGGAGGGCCTTCCCACCCGGCCGGCCGCTTATCTCCCTCCCCGGGGAGCCTGGACTGGAAAGGCCTGATCCCGGCTGGGCCTGGGGCGGCCCCGGATAATGACTTAATTAGCGCCTGCACTCTGCGCGTTTGATCTTCAAGGGGCCGAGCCTCCGGCTTAATTGCCCAGAAGGAAGAAAGCCTCGCTCAGAGATAAAGGGAAACCCTCGTTCTGGAATCCGCTCTGGCTCAGGGGCCCAGGCTGGATGCCCCGCTCAGCTGGTCCCACCTGCACAGCCCGGGTGTCCTGGCTGGGACCCCAGCTTGGGGACCGTGGCTGGCCTCCTACTTTCCAGGTGAGGGACTGAGGCTCGGGGCAGTCCAGGACCAGGGCCAAGGGACAGAGGATGCTTGGGTGCACCCCGCACCCCTTCCCCAATAGGGAGGGGACAGGTGGGAGTGGTGGTGAATCTCAGATGGTGCCAGCTCTCTGGGGCCCTGAGCATAAGCACTCAGCTCCCAGCCTGGCACCGTGTGGCTACAGGAAGGCGGCGTCCACCCAGCACTTGAGGGTGCCAGGCCTGGGGCGGGGGACCTGCAGTGCAGCAGTGAGCAGGCACACATGCACACACACACGGGACACCCATGCACACACGGGTGCACAAGTGGAAAACGCTGGCTCGGGCATCCGTTGATGAAGGGCGGTGTCTCCACGGAGCTGCTACCCCTGTCCTCAGGACCCGTCCTTCTCCCGGGGGAAGGAGGTCTCCGGGCTCCCCCCCGCCCCGCCCCCGGTCTATTTGCAGCACCTGACTCACCTCAATTACGCCCGCGGGCGCGTCGGGGCGCGCCAGGGACGCCCCCATGGGCCGGAAGCATCGGCTCTGGGGGCGACCGGACACCCCGGGCCGCCAGGTGCAGCTCCGCGGCCCCACCCGCTCCGGGGTCCGCGGATGTCTGGGGCGGCTGGCGGGCCGGGTGGGGGTCGTCCCTGGTGGACGCCTAGCTCTGGGGCCCCGGGCGGGGATGCCCCGCGGAGCTCGGAGCACCGCGCCCACGCTCCCGGGCGGCAGCCGCCCCCGCACTCCAGGGTATATTTAGCCTCATTATCAGATGTCTGCCGTGAACCCTGCGAACCGTCTAATAGCGGCTGGACGTGAGACGCGGTTCCCTACCAGCCCGGCGCACGTGACCCCCGCGCCGAGGGGCGGTGTCCAGGGGGCGTGGACGCCCACCCAAGCTAGAGACCTCTGGCCTGCAGTCGGGCCCGCGGGCTCAGTGTCCACTCCCGCAATCGCGCTGATGCGGGGCGGGGACCCAGGGAGCGAGTGGCGGCCGGTGCGGGAGTCCCCCGTCCCGGATGGGGGTCGCGTCGGGCCCCGAGTGCCCCTCGGAGGCGGCCGTCGCGCGCCCCCAAGGTCGCACCTCCCTCGTGCGGCTGCTGTTGTCGTGGTCGCTATGGCGACGGGTCGCAGTTTTATTTTTAATAGCGGCCGGCGGTCTGGGGGAGGCCCGCGCCCTAAGGTGGCGCCCCCGCAGCGCAAGGCCGGGGACACCCAGGAAGCTGTGGGCCTCCGTGCGGGGGTCCGCACCCCAGCATATCACGCCACGTTCGGGGCCGAGCGGGACCCCTGCGCACAACTCCGGGGTCAGTGGCGGGGTCCAGCCTGGCCGCCACGTGGGTCACCACGACTCCAAAGCCGGGAGGCGGGTCCATCCAGTGAGGGGGGCAAGGTTGGGCTTTCGGGGGCTTCTCAACGCTCTCGGGTTCCCCTTCGCACCCCTTCCACTGGCCACGCGGAGAGCACACGGGGCGGCGGGGGTCGCAGTCCTCAGGGACCGCGGGAGAGGCCTCGCCCCTGGCATTTGGGGGAGGAGAGCGCCCCAGAAGCGCCCTCGCCGCCGGCCTTTGAAATGCGGGAGCCGGCCGGCCTGGGCGAGAAGACCAACCGCGGGGCTGTGCCAACACCTCCTTAGTCTGGCGGGCGGGGGGCGCAGGCGTGATCCTCAGGGATAGGGGCGTTGACCACCGACCCCCCTCCAGGGTGTCTCCTGGCTCCCCGAGGCCTAGGCCGTCTGCGTTGAGGTCCATGGGGCCCGCGGCATCCCTAGCTCCAGCACCGGGGCGCGCCCGCCCCCTCGCGGGGGACCCTGGCCGGCCTCTGGCAGGCGGGACCCTCCCGCCCCGGCGCGCCCGCCCTCTCGCGGAGCGGGAGCCGTCCAGGCCGCCCCAGCCGCAGCCTTGCGCGCCTCGCCCGCCCGTACCGCACTCGGTGCTGCGCCGTGGCCGGAGGCGGCGCTCTGAGCGCCCGGAGGACCCCGGCGTAGGGAGCTCAGAGCCCAGTGTTCCTCCCTCCCGCGCCCCCCGCCCCTCTGCGTTCCGGGCTCGGGGCGCGGCCCGGCCTCGGGCGAGGGAGCGGGGCGCGGGGGTCCCACGGTGGGATGGGGCCGGCGGGAGCCCCCGGCCCAGACCCGGGCTCCGCCCCACGGCGAAGGCGGGTGGAGGTGCCCGGCTCAGGTGCCGCGGGCTCGGGAGTTCGGGCGGGGGCGCGTGGCGGCCGCCAGGTGAGTGCCCCCGACGCGCCCCCAGGCCCGCCCCAGGCTCCGCCGGAGCCTCCCTCCCCTCCTTTTATGGCGAGGCGAGGCCGGGCCCGGGATCCGCGCGGCCGACAGCGGCCCGAGCGCCGGGCGGGGGCCGGCGGCTCGAAGGCCCTTTTTGGCGCAGCGGCTCTGGCGCCGCCGTCCGCCGCCGCTGGGGCCCGAGACAGGCGAGCCGGCGACGGCGGCGCTCGTGCGGAGGCCTCCTCCCCTCCCCGCGCGGTGCCGCAGGATTGCAGCTGGCACTGGAGGGTGGGCAGCTCCAGGGAGGGGCGCGCGGGAGCCCCGGCGCCTGTGCTCCCGGCTTGGATGGGTTTGGCTGCCCGCGGGAGCGCGGGTGTGCTCACTGCGGCGGCGACCCCCGCGCGCTTCCGAGGTGCGGGTCCCGGGCCCGGAATCCGGGGGAGGCGGGGGGCGGGGGCGGGGGAGGGGCGCGGCGGCGGCGGCGGCGCTGCTATAACCCCCTCCCCGCGGCCGGCCGGCTCCACACGCGCGCCCTGCGGAGCCGAACAACTCCGGCGAGCCGGGCCTGCACGCGCCGCCTGCTCCGGCTCCTCTCCCCGCGGCGGCGGCGCCGGCTCGGCCTGTGCCTGCCTTGAGGCCCGCGCGGGCGGTGGCGGCGGCGGCGGCTGCTGCTGCCAGGCTGCGCGGCCGCGGGCGCTGCCCGGCTCCGGCCGGCGGAGGGCGGAGCGCGGCGCCGGAGCCGAGGGCGCGCCGCGGAGGGGCGCACGCAGGCCGCCGGGCCGCGCCGTGCTGGGCCGCGCTGCGCCCGGCCGGGAGGCGGCGGCGAGAGGAGGCCGGAGGCGAGCGCGGGGCCCGCGGCGGGCGCGCAGGGTCGCGCCGCAGCCCGCAGCCGGGCCCGGCCGGGCGTCCGGACAGGTGATCGCGGCGCGGAGGCGGCTCCAGCCTGGCTCCGGCGTCCCTCCGGGGGCCAAAGCCCGGAAATATGCGGAATTACCGGCCCGGTCGCTCCTAGAGCCGGCGCCGGGGAGCGCGCGCGGCGGCGGCCGGCACCGGGAACGCACCAAGGAAGAGCCCAGCCCCCGCCCTCCGCCCCTTCCGTCCCCACCCCCTACCCGGCGGCCCAGGAGGCTCCCGGCGCGGCGGGCGCGGCGGGCGCGCACTCCCTCTTCCTCCCGCTCCTCGCCGGCGCTGCGCTGGGCGGGCGCGCTCCTCCGGCCCGGCCGCTCGCCGCTCTCCGGCCGCGCTCCTGAGGGATGGTCCTGCGTTTCGCCGCCACAGGAGCCCCGCAGGAGCGCCCGCCCCGCGGCCTCGCCTCCCCGCCTCCCCGCCGGCGCCTCGGGACGCGATGAGGACCTGGGCTTGCCTGCTGCTCCTCGGCTGCGGATACCTCGCCCATGTCCTGGCCGAGGTGGGTGCCGCCCCCGCCCCGTCCCCTGGCCGGAGCTCCCCCGGGGCGCCCCGGCCTCTGCGGAGCGCGCGCGGATGCCTGCTCGGCTGGCGGGGTTCGGTTCTGTTTTCTGCCCTGAGTGTGTGCCTGGTGAGTTTCCAGGACGCTTGCGTCGCGCTGCTCTGGGGGCCCCGGGCGCGGCGGGGTGGCCGAGCCGGGAGAAACTTCGGGGGAGGGGTCTCGGAGCGCAGCGGGCAGTGCGGTAGCGGGGCGTGCGGGGAAGGGGGTGTGTGTGCGCGAAAGCCCGAGCGAGCCTGGGGCGGGGTGGGGGGGGGCGGGGAGGGGACACTGCGGCGGAGCCCCGGCCCGGCCGGGTGGGCAGCGCCCAGCCGCAGCCCCCCTGCTCCAGTTCCTGAGCCCCGCGCGCGCAGAGCCGGCGCAGACCCGCCCGCCAGGGCCTGCTTACAGGTGGCTGCGCGAGGCGAGCTGGGGCCGCGCCAGGCGCCCGCGCCCTCCCGCCGTCGCGTCCCCACCCCCCACCCAAGTCCGCGGGAGCCCTGCCTCGGCGGAGGACTTTTCCGCAGCCCCCCGCCGTGGGAACTCGGGGCTCGGGTAGCCCAGCCCCACCCCGCACCCCCCACCCTCCTGCAGTGACCCCGGACTAGGCTGGAGCGCGGCGTGCAGGCCGAGGGGGGTGGTCTGGGGCCGGCCCGGAGGGCGGCGGGAGACGGATGTTTAACCCTCGCTGTCCCGGGCGGCCTCTCGTGGCCGCCGGGCGGGTGGGGGCGCCTGGGTCGGCGCTAGGGCCGCGGCTGGCGGCCGGGGTGGGGCGCGCGCGCGCGGCGGTGTCGGTGACACGGGAACCTGCCCTCGGCGCTCGGCCGGGGTTCCGGGCGAGAAACCCACGCCTCTGGCGAGATCAAAGTGCCCGCGCCGCCGCGACTCTGGCCGGCGACCCGTGACGCATTTCAACTTGGTCTTTCGGGCCGGCGGGTCCACTCCGGAGCAAGGAGCTCTCCCCGCCTGGGTCTCCTGTGACCTGCACCGGGCACGGGGTCGGGCCCGGCGCTCGCGGGGTCTCCTCGGCCAGGCGCCGGGCGCTGACCGCGTGGCCTCTGCCCGCAGGAACCCGGGATCCCCCGCGACGTGCTGGACAGGCTCGCCCGCAGCCAGATCCACAGCATCCGGGACCTGCAGCGGCTCCTGGAGATTGACTCCGTAGGTAAATCGCGCCCCTTCCCTCGTGCGCCCCGCGCCGCCTCCCGCGCTCGGGCCGGGCCGGGCGCCGCGCAGGAGCGCACCGAAAGGTCAGAATCCAAGCCCCGGCCATAAACGCCCAGGCGGATGAGTCAGGAGTTTCTCTCCAATCGCCACTTTCTCTCCCGGCCGCGGCGCGCCGCTTCTCGCCTGCCCGGGGATTGTTTTGCATTTAAGGAAATCGCTGCGTGTGTCGCCGCCAGTTCGGCCGCGCCGAGGGCGCCGGCGCCCTCGCCAGGTGGCGGCCGGGCACGCGAGGCCGGAGGAGCGGCCGGTGCGCCCTCCTGGCGTGCGCCCCCGCGGGAGGAGCGAGCCCCTGGCCCGGCCGGCCCTGCGCCGTGGGTGCGAGCCGCTGCGGGGCTGGGTCCTTACACCTGAGCCCACTAGGACAGGCGCGCCAGGGTGCATCTGCCGCCTGGGGGCGGTTTGGGGGGGGGTCGCCCGCTCAGGGCCTGGGGCGCAGCTTCTTCGTGAGGTGCGGAGATCCGAAGGCCTCGGGTGACCCTTGGCGGACTTGGAGCAGGCCGTGGTCGGCCCTGGTGGACGCGTGAGGTGGGCGTGGCCGCACTCGCCCCCAGGGCTGCAGGGTCCCTGGCGAGGCGGGCTGAGGCGGGCTGGGGCGGGAGGGGGTGGGCTCTGTTGGCCTGGGGGCTCCGGGGAGACCCCGCTGGGGAAGCTTCTCACTGAGTTTTTGTTTTTGAGGCGTAAGATGAGCTTGTCAAAGGGAGTAGCTAAAGGCAGCCCGAGTGGAAGGGTTTCCAGCGAGGCGCTGAGGGGTGGGGAGCTAAGTGGAATCACATGGCCCAGTCATTTGGAAATTTGTACCTAATTATGTGGTGCCGAAGCTTGAACTGTTTTCTCTCCTGCCAAGACCACGGTTCCTGCAGCTTCTCGACCCAGGAAATCCTCTGGCTGATTCTTATCGGCCGGGGTTGGGTTTCACTGGGGGGCAGGGCCCTGGCCGGCCTGGAGCTGCCTTGGAGGGACGGGTCCCGGTGGCTGTGGGAGGCTGCCGGGGGCCCTGGGGAAATGGGCCATCGGCTTTGTGCTGGGAGCTTTCTTATTCCGTGCGCTGCAGCCGCCTCCCTGCCCCCACCCATTAAGGCTTTTTGCATTGCAAGTCTGTGGGCTTTGGCATTCCTGACCTGGAGGCTTCTGAGGGTCCGGGCCCTGCCCCTCTTCCTGGTGTCCTGGCTGTGCCTCTGTCTCCCTCCTGTGCACCTGTCAAACATTTCTGGGGCCCTGCAACTTCGGTGGGGGAGGGGGCCGCACTCCACAGCCCTCCTCACACACAGCCCACCGCGGGCGTCCCCTAGACCCCCTCCCCACTCATGGACCCTGAGAAGCAGAGGGGACAGGAGTGAGCTCCGGGAGGGGGGGAGGTCAGGTGCCCGCCACCTGTTCCCGCCCCACTAGAGGATTGACAGCCTCTGGGCTCTGGACGCCCTGCGGTCCAGGCGGAGTGGGTCTGGTCGGTCAGGGACAGCTCCCTGGCGTGGGTCCCTCTGGGTCTACTGTGCTGCTCCTGGGGCCTCCAGCTGCCTGGGAAGCAGAAGTGCCACCGGAGCTGCCCCTCCCGGCCGACCCCTACCTCACTGGGCTGGGCCTCTGATCTGCAGGTGGCTCCTCCGGGCAGGCCAGGTGGGAGCCCCTTGGCTGATGGGGTTGCTGAACTCCCTGGCTGGGAGGCGGGTTCCCGTGCCGGGGCCCCTGCTGCGTGTGAGGCCCTGGAGTTTGAGGTTGGTCTGTCCCGGGTGGCGTCCGGAGCTCGGGGTCTGGTGGGGTCTGTGGCTCACTGGTGCCTGGCACACAGACCCTGCCTCTGGGGCCATTCAGGCTCCCAGGGGAACTGTGGGCCGTCCTTCCCTGCAATGGCTGCCTCCGAGGCCTTTGGTGGACTCCGCTGGGATCAGTTTTGGGGGGAGATTGACCCCGAGTGTCGGGAGAGCCTGGTCAGCCCCTGCTTTGGGTCCCTGCTCCGTCCTGATGCGGGCCGAGGGTGGGTGACCCATCCTCTTGGACCTCAGCATTCCTGGGGTGGAGCCCGGAGCCCGGGGCGGGGCTGTCCCCCGCTGGCCTCTCCTGCCTGTCTTATTGCACCTCTCCTGCACTGCGTGGGGAGCGGGCAGCCCGGGAAGGATGTCTGGGCTTCTGGGGGTGGCCGCTGGCCCCAGGGTGCACCAGGTGCTGGCTGGCGTGGCGACGGCAAGATGGCCACCACCAAGGCGTGACTCATGAGTGTCACTTTTTTGTGAAAAAGCTGCTTTTTGTGACAGTTGGTTGATGGGAAATTCTTATGGCATGAATAGTTCTGTTCTGATCTTATTTTGGGTCTCAAAAAAAAAAAATAGTGGTATTGGAACATTGAGTCATGGGTAGATGTCGGGTTCTGCTCAGCCCTGGTCTTGGCCGTCCACGCCTCCCGTGAGGGTTGTGGTCTTCGTGTTCAGTGTTGTGTACAGTGTGCGTGCAAGGCTGAGCTTCCGCTGGCGCCGCGGTCTCCCAGGTGGACCTCACGGAGGCTCTGGGTGCTGGGCACCCCGGGGGGCCCGAGGCGGGGAGGCCGGCCACCCTCCTGTCCAGTGCGGGGGTGCAGGGCATGTGTCCTGGGGCTGGGGTTCCCCTCTCCGCTGGGGGTCTGGCCGCCTCCTCTGCGGGGGCATTGCGCTCCGGCCTCAGGCCTGCAGCCGCTTAGCGCTCCCCCGTGCACGGGCGGCCACGTGGCCAGGCTCGTTCTCATGGCCTCTGGCCCTCTGGGCAGACTTATTTCAGGAACGAGGAGGGTTGGCCTCGAGCCCGGGCTGGGCTGGCGTTGCCTCCGCTGCCCATCGGGCTGGGATGCTCAGTCCACACGTGCGCTCTGCAGCCCCTGCGCTGCCCCTCTCCGGGCGCTGGGCCCGTTGGTCCCAGCACGGGGACCCCAGGGCTCGCTCAAGGACGGCGCAGGAGAGGGTGCCTGTGGGCCCATCCGAGCGTCTTCCACGCCTGGAAAGCTCCTGAGTGCCAGGGGGTTCTCCCAGCAACCCCCGGCCCAGGGGTCCCCGGAAGCAGCTCCCTGGACGCTGCTGGACCGGTCGCCAGTTTCTGCTTCTCCCTGTAGGGGCTGAGGACGCTCCGGAGCCGAGCCTGAGAGCCCCCGGCGTCCACACGGCCAGGCATGTGGCCGAGAAGCCGCCAGCGCCGGTGCCCGTGCGGAGGAAGCGTAGCATCGGTGAGTGTGGGGCGGGGCCGGCGCGCCCGCCGGATTCTGTGGCCTGGGGCGCCCTTGGCTCCTCTGACAACAAAGGCCCTGCTCGCCCCTCCCGCCTGCCCGCCCTCTGCAGGGGGGCCGGAGCCGCCACGAATTCCTGAAGTGCCTGATCTTGTCGGGGCCCGTCACGGGAGGCCTGCCTGGTTCACACCGCGGAGCGGGGCTGTCCCGGGGCTACCAGCTGCCAAACTGGGTGCAGCCGCGTGCAGGGCGGGCGGGGGAGCTGCCGGTGGCTCCCCGCACCCCCACTCTGCGCCTGGGCCTCCCTCTGGATGTCCCCCGGGGCCTCCCCGCTGCTCTCTTGCCAGGAGCCGTGCTGGGGCGGGGGTCCTGGCTGCCTGGGCTTGGGTTCCTCCAGGTCTGGGTCTGGGGGGTGCGTGGGGGAGGGGCCTTGGTTCATGTGGTCAGGTTCCGGCCCTGCTGTGCCCCTGCCCTGGGCTCAGCTGCAGGCCCCTCTGCTCCCTGGCTCCGCCCCTTGGCCACCTGGCCAGATCCCACCCGGAGGGCACTCCTTGGGGGCCTGGGTGCTGTGGGGGAGGCCGGCAGGGTTTCTTTGCTTGAAGGACTAGTTTTTGGGGCCTGAGACCCCCGAGGCCCTGGTACTTGCTGGGTCTCCCAGGTGGGCCCCCGGAGGTCCTCTCAACCTGCAGATGGGCAGGGGGCAGTCTGGAGGTCTTCCTGCCTTGCCTGAGGGAGCCTCTGGGGGAGGGGCCGTGGCTGAGCCCCCGGCTGCCCCCAGCAGCTCCCTGGGCAGGCAGCAGGGCCTCCGTGGTCAGCCTCATGCTGTACATCACTAGGTGCACGCAGGGAGAGGTCTGTCCCCCCAGCCCCACAAGCCCCGATCACGCCCTGTAGTGGACAGAGCCCCTGCGGGCAGCCCTGCGGTCTCTCCCAGCGGGGCCTGGGGACTCGGGGTGTCCATTCTCTGTCCTGTGCCTCAGCCCTGCTCTGATGGGAGCCTGCTGCCCTCACCAGGCTGTGCACCCCAGGGGCCATGCTGGGCCTGCTTCAAGTCTCTGGGCTCCTCCCCCGCCCAGCCCCCCTCCCAGGCTGGGGGGGGCTCGGTGCAGGCTCAGAGGTGGCAGGGGCACTGTGGGCCGCGCGTGGGCGGCGGGCGAGTGAGGCCGCCTCACACACACCCCTGCCTCCTGCAGAGGAAGCCATTCCTGCCATCTGCAAGACCAGGACGGTCATTTACGAGATACCTCGGAGTCAGGTGGACCCCACGTCGGCCAACTTCCTGATCTGGCCGCCGTGCGTGGAGGTCAAGCGCTGCACCGGCTGTTGCAACACCAGCAGCGTCAAGTGCCAGCCCTCGCGGGTGCACCACCGCAACGTCAAGGTGAGGCGGCACGGCGTGGGTGGGGCCGGCTGGGGGTGGAGTCTCAGAACCTAAACGCAGCATGCGAGGGGCCTCAGGATGGGGCAGCCGCTCGGCCTGGGGCGAGGTGTCCAGGCTGACAGCCGCGTGGGCTGGGCGCAGTCTGCCACAGAACTTGGTTCTCACTGTAGAGCCGAGTCCTGGGTGGCCGGCGCCCCCCGGTGAGGGCCCCACCCTCGTGTGGAGGGGGCCTCTGAGCTCGCAGCCCCTGGTGAAGCCGCCAGGTGGGCTGCCCACGCGCCGAGCCCCTCCCCCACCCTCCGTGTGGTTCAGGGTGCTGTGGTCAGAGACGGGTGGGACCCCTGGCCTGGGCCGCTGGTTGGGCCGCTGGTCTTCACCGCCAGCCTGGGGCCGCTTGCTCCCAAGCCCTCTGAGGCAGGGGACTGCCCGCGGGGATCCTGGGAGGCACATTCACAGCTGGGAGGGTGGCTGCTCCCTGCGTCCCAGGACCGACCCCTTCTGCTGCCCCAGGCTGGGCTCTGGCTTCCGGCCATGTGGCTGTGCCAGGTGGGCCCTGGCCTCGTCTGTGCGGGGGGGGGGGGGGGGGGCAAGCTCACCCGTGAGCCAAGGCCACTGGCCTCCTGCTGGGCTTCGAGGTCCAGTTTTCAGGACGAGGTGGTGGGGGTCTGAGGTGTCCCCTGGGGCTGGGGCCCGGCTCCCTGGCACTGGGCGGTGGCCCAGGGCTCCACACCAGGCAAGCACCTTAGCCCTGAGCTGGGACTTATCTTGACCCCCAGGGACTTGGTCCTCTGCGTCCTGAGTCAGCAAGTTCCACGTCTGACCGCCCCAGTCTCCAGGGCTCCCCATGCCGGGCACCTGGCCAGGCCTCTCAGGCTTCGCTCCCCACCCCCAGCACCGATCCCACGGTGACCCCAATCCAGCCTCTCGTGGTGTTCGCTGTGGTCTGTCCCCGTGGGACCCGGAGGTGGGTCCCCGTGGCCACAGCCCCTTGGGGCCAGGCACAGGTGCTCTGCGTGCCCCCAGGTAGGCGCTGCCACCCAGGGGCTGTGCTGATGTCTGAGATGGGGCTGGGCCTGGAGTGCTGGCCAGAGGGGGGTGTCCCCTTGGTGGCCTCCAGCTGCGGAGGCCCTCCCCCAGGTCCCCGCACCTGTTTGCCAGCAGCCGGCGATGCCCCTGCCTGACCCCTGTGGGCTGGGCACGGGAGTCCTCTGGGGAGTGGCACCTCTCCGCTCTGTGTGGGTGGAGCTGGGACCATTGCGCCTCTTAAGAAAGTGGAGGGGGGAGGGGGCTCAGGGCCGCAGGCTTGGGGCCCAGGGTGCCGCTCTCTGGCTGGGGGTGGTGTGTGTCCTGGTGTTCCGGTTTCTATTGCCTTTTGATGAGGCTGGGAGGGGTCACCTGATGGGACCTGGGCTGGCCAGCAGTGGCCCCTGTGCCCTGGGAGGCTGGTGGACGTGGTGTGGTTGGTGGCCGGCCTCCTGTGGCGCCCACAACAGCAGGAAGCCCGGCCTTGTCTGGAGAGTCCAGGTGCTGCGACCTCATCGCAGGCCAGGAAGGTCCCCCTGGGGACCGCCGACCGTCCGTTTGTCCGTCCGGGGCTCTCTGGCTGGGAGGCTGCCCTGAGCTCTGCCCTGCACGTCTGTCCCTCGGGGCCAGCAGGGGCTGGGGGTGGGTGCGCTCGGGCTGACTGGGCGTGCGCCGCTGAGGCCAGAGTCCTGTCCAGAGGGAGGGTGGAGTTTACAGACCTGACCAGGTGGTGTCCACCCTGGCCCACACCCCACCTTGCCCTACCCTGACAGGGCCTGTTGGGCTGGGGTCTGGACGGCCACACCTCGTGCTCACCTGGGCTCAGCCCCCACCCTGTGAGCAGCTGGGCCGCCCATCACTGCCTGGGCTGCTGTGGGGTCTGGGGGGGGGTGTCCCGAGATGAGGCAGGAGCCTGCTGTGGGAAGGCCAGCCCGGGGCTGCTGGTCCTGCTGCACATCTGCCTCTCCTGCAACTGGGGAGGTGGGGCCTGGGCAGGGGTCTCCGCTCCCCCTGGTGTGTGGGTGGCCGGATGCAGGCAGGGTTAGCGGTGGGGGGCCGCCACTGGCGCAGGCCGCCCGAGGGCTGGGAGGGACGGGGAGGTCGGGGCGCAGCGGGCAGCCTGGGTCTGGGGGTCCCCGGCACCAGCCGCCTGTCTTGGGGACCCGGCCTTCCTGGAGCAGATTCTCAGGACTGCTCTTGGGGGAAAAATGCGGCCGCTTCCTGGCCAGACGGCCGCTGGAATCCCACGAGGCCCGGCAGGTGCAGTCGTAAATCGCTGTTTGTTTACCTTTGATAAACGGGGCTGTCTGGAGAGCAGGTTCCCAGACTGGGCGGCCCGAGGGTGCCCCAGCCAAGGGCACCGTGGGTGGCAGTGCCCAGCGGTCCTGGGAGCCCCCTCCCTCTGCCGCCCCCCTCTATGGGCGGAGGATGGGCCAGGGAGTCCAGGGTGCCCCGCCGAGGGACGGGAGAGGCCGCTGTTAACTGCCTGTGGACACAGAGGTCGGCGCCCCCGGCCCCAGCAGGTTGAGAGGAGCCTAGGTGCTCAGCAGGGGCTGGTCGCCCCCTCCAGTCCCCCTGCCGGGGCCTGGCCAGCACCCCCAGAAGAGGTGAGGGGGCTTCCTGATGGACGGAGGCTGGGGGTGGCTGGGGCAGGGCCGGCTTGCAGGAGCCCTGGGGGCCCAGGCTTGGCCTGTCCTAGCAGCCTGGTGCTGAGTGCGGTCCTGCCCCCACCCCGCAGGTGTACGCCCCTTTGCTGGGGCGGGGGGGGGGGGGGGCTTGGGCCCGGCCTCTGCGAGCAGCAGGTGCTGTCCAGGCAGCGGCTCCTGGGTCCGGGGCCGGCCTCTCGCCCGAGTCCTGCGTAGTGAAGCTGCGTGCCGGCCCCCGGCCCCGCGCCCCACACACCCTGGGCCCATCCCCGGGCTCTGTGCTCGCCCGGGCGGCCCACACCGCTCCGCACGCCTGCCGGGCGCGCGGCACCCTTTGCCCTGCGGGTTAACCATTACTGCGGCTGCGGGGGGCCTGCCCAGGCCTGCTCCCCGGCTCTGGGGGCTGACCCTGCCCGAGGGTCGCGGGGAGCCCAGGGCTGCGGGGTCGGCGTCCCCTGCGAGTGACCGGGGAAGGGGCCTGGCCGGGCCTCGGGTTCCTTGGGGGCCTGGGACAGCTGCTCCTCGCCCACCCCCAGGCACGTGTGTGCACGTGGGGCGGGTAGGGCGTCCCATGACGGAGCGTGTGCGTGTGCCTGATGGCGGGTTCTCGGGTCACGGGTTGGCCATGCGCACGCGCGGGCGCTCCAGAAGCTTCCCTGTGGAGTGCGCGTGCGCGGCCGGCTTCGACGTGGGCCGCGGGTGGCCGGGGCCGGGGTCAGGGGGCGGGGCCGCGTGACGCACTTCCGGCGCGCGGGCGCTCATGGCCGTGGCGGCGCTCTCTCGGGCAGGTGGCCAAGGTGGAGTATGTCAGAAAGAAGCCCAAGTTGAAAGAAGTGCAGGTGCGGCTGGAGGAGCACCTGGAGTGCGCGTGCGCGGCCTCGAGCGCGGGCCCGGAGCACCGCGAGGAGGAGGCAGGTAAGCGGCGCGGGCGGGCCGGGCGGCGCGGGCGGGCGGCCGTGCGCGGCGCCCTGAGGCCGCTCTCCTGCCCGCCCTCTCGCCAACAGGAAGGCGTAGGGAGTCAGGTAAAAAACGGAAAAGAAAGAGGTTAAAGCCCACCTAAGGCGGCCGAGCAGGTAGGACGCCCGCGCCCGCGGGGCTCTGGTCGCGCCCGCCAATCGGCCTGGTCGGGCTGTGCTGTCGCTGGGCTGCGGTGTCCCCGCTCCGGTGCCGCCGCTGCTGCTCCTGCTGCTGCTCCTCCTCCTCCTCCTCGCCGATGATCGGGGCGCTGCGGGGTTCGGGCAGCTCTGGGGGTCGTGCGGGGGTCGCCGCGGGCAGGCTGCCCACCCCATTTGACAGATGAACAAACTGAGGCTGGACCGAGCGAGAGGTGACCCGTGGGGGCCGAGCAGGGCCGGCGGCCCCGGGCCCTGGGCTAGGAGGAGACAGGCCGACCCCGCCCAGCGAGGGCTTCACCACAGGACACCCCCTTCCCCGACCCGGAGGGAGCCGGCCAGTGCAACCCAGGTGTCTGCCTGGGCCGGGGCCCGCGGGGCGCACGGCCTGGGTCTGTCCCCGAGGACAGCGGGAGAAGAGTGTCCACTCGTGGCCCTGTGGGAGGTCTCAGGCTGAGGGCGGAGGCCCCTCGGTACCCGGGCTTCAGGCCGTGGGTGCTGCACCCGCTGGGCTGTGTGGTTGAGGAGGGGGTCCCCACAGAGCTCAGCGAGGCTCTGCCTGGTCACAGGGACCCTCCTGCCCGCGCCTGGTGGCGTCCATCCTCAGGGTTGCCTCAGAGCCCACGATGGCTGCCAGAGCTCCAGAAATCACATGCAAGCCCTGGGCTGGAAGAAGAAGGTAGGGGGCAGGGCTGGAAGACCCCCTCCTGGGCCTCAGTTTCCCCCATCTGTGCAATGGGCGTCCGGACGCTGCACCGCGGCCGCCGTGTCGGCGACTTCCCGGCCGCGGCCCTCAGCCCGCCTCTCCCTCTCCCCGCAGATGTGAGGTGAGGGCCCCGGCGCCTCCTGGGACACGGATGTGCGTGGCGTGTTACATTCCTGACCTGCTCTGTACGGTGCTTCCTTGCCAGCGTGCCGTCTTTGTTCTCCTCCGTGGAACACCGCCCGAGGACACTCGGGGGAACAAAGAGACAGTGACCGCGTCCACGCGGGCAGCGGGCAGCCTCCCGGCAGAGCGCGGGGCAGACGGACCGCGGGCGGGGCCCCAGGTGCTTTAGCCGCCGCCGCGGGGCCGGGGAGCCGCGTGTGTCGACACAGACCCCTCCTGAGAGCCTTAAGTGGATTTTTTACACCATCGAGTGGTCGTCAGCCCCCTTTCTACTTGCTCTCCTCTCGTTTCCGTTTGTAACGACGCCGGTGGCACGCGAGGCTGCTGTGGCTGGGACGGCGCCCGCCGTCGGACGCAGACTAACGAGATGTATTAAATAAACGTGCTACACCCGCCTATGCACCATTCCCCGCCCGCGTCCGGCCTGCTGTGTGCCCGCCCGCGCCCCGTCCCGCACCGCGAGCCCCGGCCCGGGAGCCAGCGGTGGACGGCGCGGGGGCCTGCCCGGGGGCACAGAGCGCGCCCTCCGTCCCCTGGCCGTGGGCGATCCTGTCCCCACGTGGGCTTGCCGGGCGGCGGCCGCCCCGGGACCGTGGAGACCCCTAGGATCTGACCCTGTGCCGCTCGGAGCCTCGTCCGTCACAGAAGAGTGGGGCCGGCTGGGTCCCTGGCTCCCGCACCTCGGCGGATGTAGACACTGGGGACGCGGCGCCCGGCCCTGCTGTCTGCGCCGGCGGTGCCCGCCGAGGCCGGCTCGCACCAGCCCTGACCACCCCGCCCCGCCCCGCCCCTTTAGTGAGCCAAGCGCCTTTGCAGGGCTCCGTCCGCGCACCTGTTTGTGCTGTGTGGGTGAGGGGGGCCTGCCAGCCGGGGCGCTCACAGAGCAGGTTGGTCCGCGGCTGGACTGGCCTCAGCTGCTGCCCCCGGGCCTGCGACCCTCCCGCCTCCTCCCACGGCTCTGCGGTCGCCCCTGGGCCTCCCGTCTGCACCCCAGCGCCTGGGTCTGCCGAGTGGGCGTGGGGAGGGGCGGGGTGGCCTCCCAGCCTGTGCCCCACTCCTGGGCCCGGGCGAGCTGAGCCCCGCCTGCAGGGCCCGTGGCTGTGCCTCTGCCCACCTGGCCGCCCTCCCCAGTCCTGCCCTTGCTGCTCCTCGGCGAGGGCCCGGGCCTGGAGAGCCGCCGACCCCTGCAGCGCCGGCTTTGGCTGACGTCTGCCCCAGCCTGGATCTGCAGCGTTCACTCTCGGGATGGACATGCGGGGGTCTCTCCCACTTGCAGGGGGAGGGGCTCGTGCCCTGGGGTGCCCTGGCCCTGTGGGGGGGCAGCCTGTGTCTCCCCGGGCCCCGTGCAGTTTCTGTGGTCGCGTCGTGGCGGGGGCTGGCAGGGGGCTGTAGGCAGCGCCCCACTCTTGGGGTGCTTTCCATGGGGCTCCCCGAGGAGTGGCGTGAGGAGCAGGCGCAGCCAGCCCCGGGAGGGCGTGCGTGCTGCGGGCCCGGGAGAAGCGGGGACTCACGGGCCCCGGGCTGGGCTGTGGTGGTTCAGGGAGGAGGGTGCAGCTCGGGTCCACACTGCCTGGGGAGGGCTCGGGGTCGCACTGAGCCCGGTAGGCACTCGGCCCCCTAGCTGTGCGTTCTCATTTGGGCCAAGACATTGAGATGAAAATAAAGAGCACTGATTTAAACAATGAAACTCAGGTGTTGTAGTGGCGGGCTGGGTGGGCGGTGCTGTACGCTTGGCCCGGCCCCGCCGGCGTGGATGCTGCGTGGGTGTGTGCCTGGCCCAGGGTCCTGTGCCCCCGGCATGAGGTGACGCTGCCTGGCTGAGCTCGGGGCCGCGGCGGCCTGTGCACCTGGCACGGGGCTGTGGCCGTGGTCCCACCTGCCCCTCCCAGTGAGCCGTCCGGGGGTGGTTCTAGGTGGCAGGAGGGCCGGCACTACTGCGCTGTCCTGCCCCACCGTCCTCTCCCACTGAGCACCCCAGACTCAGGGGCCTCAGGAACCAACCCTCTGAGTGGTCCTAGTTGACCCTGGACGCCGTAGGACTGTGCGTCCCTGAGAACAGAGAAGCAACCCCCCCACCCTCCCAACAGTGGTCGATCACGAGAGGATAGGCTCAGTCCTGGAACCGACTGGTAAGGCCGGGTGCTCACCAGGCCAGTCTGGCATGGCAGCTCCCGGCCCATGACGGCCACTGGCCTCGGAGCCCCCACTGGGTCCCGTGGTCCCCGGTGGCCAGCTGGGTGGGGGTTCCTGTACCTTGTGGCTGCTACACTGGGTAGAAGGGGCCTGGGCTCCTCAATGAGGTGGAGATGGAGGTGCTCAGTGGGGTGGGGGCGCCCGGTCCGGGGCCCTCAGAACAGCTAGAAGCTGACCGGCAGGCCCACGGTCGGGAGTGGCGGCCCTGCCCCCTCTGGGCAAGCGTGGGGCCTCTGAGCTCCGGGAAGTATGGGAGGGAGGCCGGGGGCCGTCTGTCTGCAGGGCCACGTGCTGTCCAGGTGCTGCCCAGCCCACCCGGTGTGCGGGGGTGTGCTGGGCCCCGCTGTTGTCCTCAGGGCCAACTCCCGAGGACGCGCTCGGCGCAGCCACTGGCCCGTCCTCTGACGCAGTGCGCCTGTCCTCACACCCCCTCTCAGGACCCCCAGCCCTGCCGAGGCCTCTGCTCCAGTGTCTGGGGCGCGGCCTGGGCAGGAGCCGGGCATGGGCAGTGTGTCTGCTGGGCCTAAAGAGCAGTGACGGGCCAGTGCTGGGCACAGGGGCTAAGCCGCTGCTGCGCACTGCCGGGACCCTGGCCCCTCGAGCTGCAGACGGCAGTGCGCTGCCTGGGCCTCTGGAGCCTCCAGCCTGGCTGCCCCTGCACCTGCTGGGCACCCCCAGGCCCCAGCGTCCCCCCAGGGCTCCCTGCACCCGTCAGCCCCTCACCGGCCTCTGGGCCCTGGGGGTCTGGCAGAGTCGGAGGCCACCTTGGGTCCCGCCCTGGTTCCTGCAGCACAGCGTGAAGCCCGGCCCCTGCGGCCCCTCCCGGCGGCCGGCATCCGGCATCTCCTAGCAGGACCTGGTCCCGGGCCTGGGCCCCACCAAGCAGGGCGCTGCCCACAGGGCCGCTGAGGGACGGGGCGTCCCCTGGGCTGGGAGCTGTTGGCCGCGGCCACGAGTGCGAGCTGCAACAGCAGCCGGCAGGAGGGACCCAGCACGGCCTCACCGCCGTCCCGTCCGGCGCCATGCCCAGCCTGCCTGTCGGCACGAGGGTCTGCACCCGGATGCAGACAGAGTGGGATCCCCGTCCAGGGCTGCCATGGGGGGGGTCCCCGTGACAGGGCTGCCGTGGGGTGGGGGGTGTCCCTGTGAGGCTGAGGGCTGCTGTGGAGGGGGGTCCCCGTGACAGGGCTGCCGTGGGGTGGGGGTGTCCCCGTGACTGGGCTGCTGTGGGGTGGGGGTGTCCCCATGACAGGGCTACTGTGGGGTGGGGGTGTCCCCATGACAGGGCTGCCGTGGGGTGGGGGTGTCCCCGTGACAGGGCTGCCGTGGGGTGGGGGTTCCCTGTGACTGGGCTGCCGTGGGGCGGGGGGTGACCCCGTGACTGGGCTGCTGTGGGGTGGGGGTTCCCTGTGACTAGGCTGCCGTGGGGCGGGGGGTGACCCCGTGACTGGGCTGCTGTGGGGTGGGAGTGTCCCCATGACAGGGCTGCCGTGGGGTGGGGGTTCCCTGTGACTGGGCTGCCGTGGGGTGGGGGTGTCCCCGTGACAGGGCTGCCGTGGGGTGGGGGTTCCCTGTGACTGGGCTGCCGTGGGGTGGGGGTGTCCCCATGACAGGGGTGCCGTGGGATGGGGGTGTCCCCATGACGGCTGCCGTGGGGTGGGGGTTCCCTGTGACTGGGCTACCGTGGGGCGGGGGGTGACCCCGTGACTGGGCTGCTGTGGGGTGGGGGTGTCCCCGTGACTGGGCTGCCGTGGGGTGGGGGTTCCCTGTGACTGGACTGCCGTGGGGCGGGGGGTGACCCCGTGACAGGGCTGCCGTGGGGTGGGGGTTCTCTGTGACAGGGCTGCCGTGGGGTGGGGGTTCCCTGTGACGGGTGCTGCAGGGCTGGGAGCCCCGGGCAGTGTCAGCTGCAGGGGTGGAGGTGGCAGGTGGCTGCCTCGCCCAGTGTGTGGCAAGGCTGGGCTGGGAGTGGGCGCTGGGCCCCGACCTTTCCGCCCCCGGTGCTGAGGCTTCCTGGCCTGGCTTAGCCCCTGCAGGAACAGGTGCCCCGCTCAGCTCCAGGGCCCTTGCTGGGTCCCAGGGCAGGGTCTCCGCTCGAGACTCTGGCCGGTCCCTGCGGCTCCCACAGACCTGCCGGCACCCACTGGACAGGTGGCAGAGCTGACCCCTGCCTGACCCAGGGCCCCCTACCGTGCCAGGCCCTGACTCCCAGGACTAGGGGCAGAGTCGCACCCCACCGTCCTCCCAGCCTGCACCCAGGGCAGCAGGGGGCAAAGCACCCACCCTGCTGCGCCAGGCCCACTCGCGGCTGGGTGGGGAGCACCGCGGGGGGAGCTGTGGGCTGAGGGCTGGGGCTGCTGGGGTTTCCTCCTCTGGCAGCCGTTAGCCTGGACCAGGACGGCCCAGGGTTCCGTGCGCGGGGTGTGACGGAGAAGGCGGACGCCTGTTTGCTTCTGAGCGTGCTGAGTTAGCTGCCGTGTCTTTGTGGGTGAGGCAGGGCTGCCCCCGTTGGCCAGCACGTGGACGGCGCCTGTCCCAGCGCCGTTTGTCGGAAGGATTCTCGGCCTGCTGGTGTGGGTCCCTGACTGTCACGGGATGCGGGCTGACCTCCGGCTGTGTGTTCGCGGGAGCCGCCGCGTCCTGAGGTCTCCGTCTGGGCTCGGTCCGGGCTGCTGGGGGCGCCGCCAGGTTCTGTGGGAAAGGCACTGGGGTGCTGGTGGGGATTGTGTGGCTCTGGGTACAGGAGGGAAAGCCTGGGTCTCCTGCGTGCCGTTTGTGTTGGCTGTGCACATCTGTGCTTTGTCACCTCTGTTCCTGGTGTCGCGTGCTCGCCGCTGTTCTAAGTGGGATGGTTCTGGTCGTGTTGGTAGACAGGATCGACGTACTGCCCGCTGACTCGCGTGTGTACAGCCTCCTGTAACGAGGCGCCCTCCACAAGTAGGGGTGTTTCTACTTCCTTTCCAGTCCACCTGTGCCTTCCCCTGCTGGATCTGGCCCGGAAGTGGAGCGGACGTCATGGTGTGGTCTGGAGTCAGTCGCCCACCCTCCCTGATGAGGGACGGTGGCTGTGGGCTTGAGGTGGGCACAGGTCATCGGGTGGACAGGGTTCCCTTCTGTCCCTGCTCTGTTGTGTGCGACCTTCAGGTTCACCCTGTGTATTTGAAAGGCAGACTTACAGAGAGGAGGAGACAGACTGAGAGGCCTTCCATCTGCTG